TGCAAACCTTCAAAAATTTGAACTTTATTGCAGATTTGAATGCTTCTACTTTGACAAAGCTTGTCAAAAGTAAAGTCCCGCAGGATTTGCTTCTTGAATGGACAGAATACACCGTGCGAAACGACATGAAGTTCAGATTTTCAACACTTACAAAATTTGCTAGAAGTGTACGCGAAAACCTTCGACAAAGTTCACAATTAATTTCCATACCTCAACAATGCAAAAACTTCAACAGTTAGCAGCAATGACATAGCGCCCTTTTCCTCGAACGTTATGCCCACAGTACTGTTCTTTTACGCCCCCTCAACGCTACATTACCGTAAAGCAACTTGAACTATGTGTTAACTGCTTAAGCCCCCATCATCTCCGAACTAATTGTATCTCAAACAGCCGTTGTGAAGAGTGCAACGGATTTCATCACATAAGCCTTCACGACCTAAATAAGTTTGAAAAATCAACTTTCTTTGTCAACGCCCACCAGGACTTGTTTCACAAAACTATAAACTCCAACTTACAAGAAACAGTTTGGGGTTCCAAAAATGGAGGTAAGCCCGCACCCAGGAAACCTAAACTTTAAACAGCAGTCTGCTGATTTTAATCAGAAAAGCAATGAGGTTTCCAAACCAACCGGACCTAAACCGATATGGTGATCAGCACTCTAACAAACAAAACATTAGCTACCAGAAACAGAGATGCCATCGCAACAAAGCAAAGACACCGCATGCGCAGAAAATCATGGAGGACTAACTGCCTGTGAGTTTTCGAGTTTTTGTTCAGAACAACATCAATGGTTTGATCAACTACAACTAAGGCTGGTCTCATTCTGTCATGGTGAAACGAGCACAACTACCTATGAAATAATTGAACACGGAAGCCAATTTAACTTCATTCCTGATGAAATAGCAGATAAACTACACCATCCGTCTAAGGAAAACACATCAAAGTCTCTTCGTTATATCGACATCGATCATGAAATGCCAGTTGCGAAGGTTGATAATTCTATTCACATCTCACAGCATGACAAACCGGTTGTTTAATTCTCAATGAACAATTTGTACAAAATTTCTTCTTTAAACATACCGGAGGCAGACGTGTTTAACTTGAACGAGATTTGCAGCTCTTCCGACACACTTCGGCATATTCATTGTCCACACCTCGTTATGGGAAGATTGGAGTTTTGTTTGGTGTAAGCTCATTCGTGTTTACATATCATCTACACGTTATTGAAGGAAATAACTTTATACCTTCAGTTGTAGAGACAAAACTTATATGAACATTAGCCGGCGAATACCAACTGAACAAAAATAGACAACAGCGACAACAAACTTGCCCTCCAAATCCTGGATAACACAACAAGACTTGTGAATGGACGATACGAAGTAGGTGTTCCCTGGAAACCCAACTCTAGTCTCGGAAACAACTACTGTGCAGCTCTGAAACAATTGCAATCTTTGCAGAAAAGATTCGAAAAGAAAACCCGATCTACAAAAATTACACGAAAAGACACTAGTTACGGACTTGGAAAAGTCTTACGCGCAGCCAGCAGTTTTTACCAAAGATGTACCTTCTAGATTGTGGTATCTGCCTGACCACGAAGTCGTAAACCCTGAAAGTCCGGACAGGAAGGCGTGTTTCAAACGCTGCCTCCAAGTTCAAAGGCCAATCTCTAAATTCTAATCTGCTAACAGCCATGGTTTGCTTGCAAATCTTACTGGAGTCCTTTTACGGTTTCGTAAGTTTGGTATTGCGACACTAGCTGACATTGAGGGAATGTTTATACAAGTTAGCATAAAAGCAGAAGAACGCTCCTCGCTACGTTTTCTCTGGAATCGCAACAATGTTATGAGACGTTATCAGTTTTCAACACTCATCTTTGGAGCTCGCCACTTTGTGCTATCTACATTCGACAGAAATGTGCCAAAGACAACATCGCGAATTTTAAGCTTGCTTTTGAATCCGTCTAAACACGACTACATTCACTCAACAACTTCACGCAACGACGCAATAGAGTCCGCTTTCCAAATAAAAGCAGCGCTACAACAAGGCGGATTCAGACTAACCAAGTTTGAATCGAACAGCACTAAGGTACTTAACGGTCTACCAGCCTCCAAAAAAGAAACACCTAATCAACAACTAGAGTTCTAGGACAAAAATTGAACTTGACAACTGATGAACTATACATGGAACCTCCAAAGTCAATTAGTGGGGATGCCCACAAATATGCACAAGGAAAACTTTTCAGCCTACTGTCCTCAATTTTTGATCCTCTGGGAATACTAGCACCAGTAAGCATTTTGTTCAAAGCAATTTTGCAAGCAACTTGGAAATAAGTCAGTTCCTGGGACTCATTACTACCCGTTAACAGTCAAAAAGACCTAAAAATGCTGCTAAACCTCTTTGTGTCAAGGAAACCAATCAGTCTTCCCCGAACACTTTTTAAACGGTAATTAACAACACCGGATAGTGTTCAACTTCATGCGTTCACGGAAGCGTCTTTGACAGGAATGTCAGCAGTCGAATACCTGAGAGTCAAATATCAACCAGAAAACCAACTGAGAAGTCACTATAAAAAAAGTAAGAGCAAAGTAGCTCCAATCAAGTAGCTGAGTATTCCAAAATTAGAGTTTGAAGCAGCAACTATTGGATTTGGACTAGTCGCATTTGCTAAAGTACAATTTCAGCTTAAAGTTGATCCTGACGTACACATGTGGACAGACAGTCAAGTTGTAATTGACTGGATCAACTCGAAGAAAAAACAATAGAGTTTTGTGTCAAATCGTCTAGCCAAAACAAACGCTACTCAAGGAAACAATACCTGGCGCCATATACCGACTCATCTGAACCTTGCTGATTACGGCACTGGAGGATTAAATCCTAGTGATATTGAATCAAAATGGTTAGCAGCCGCATCCTTTCTGATTCACAATCATCTCAATGGCCACTGAAGTCTTCCGTAATAGAATCTAAAGAGTCTCAAAATATGCCTCAGTTTGCGCACCACAACAACCGTTTTCAGGTCCTCCAGCCTTTGACATCAGTCGTTTTTCCTCGTGGAACAAACTTTTTTTCACCATCGCCGCAGTTTTCAGTTTTTTCACAAAACTGAGCTCATCATGGGCAAAAGACAAGACTTTAACTGAAAGATCAAAATGACCGACAGCAATCTACTAGTAACGATATAGAACGAGCGAGAAATTATATCCTCATATCAGCACAGTGAGGATCTTTCAATGAAATGATCGAACATCTACAACAGAAGCGGCGCCTGGAAAAGAAGAGCAGAATGATTAAATTCAATCCATACCTAGACCAACAGTTTATGTTCCGTTCGCGCAGCAGGCTCGAATTTGACCCAACAATGGAGCTTGAATCACGTCACCCGCTGATTCTAATAGCAACTCATCCAACAGTTAAACTCTAACTACAGCATGCGCAGCATGCATCAAGGACAAGAGTCCGTCAAATCGTTCGTGCAGCAGCGCTAACACATCATTGGGATACGACAAGCTTTTCGTTCAATTGCTCATCACTGTTTCCTGTGTCGACGATACAAAGCAGACAACCTCTAGCCCATTATGGCACCATTACCACTGAAGCGATATCCCGACAAAAATAATTTTTTCCAGTTCACTAATACTGGAGTAGATTTATATAGTCCCTTCATTTTGAAAACAAAACAGATATTGAGAAACATTACGGAAGAGAACCGTTCATTTTGAAAACTGTCCAAATCTGAGCACTGATTCACTAATGAATGCAATCGGTCGGCTTACAGCTAGACGGGGAACTCCAAAAACGCTCACCAGTGTTAACGTAAAAATGTTTGTTAGACCCTCTAAAGAACTAAAATTGTAACTGACTACCCAAAAAATGACGAGCCACTGACATCAAATCACTTTCTCATTCAACGACCTTTCAGCAGTCTTCCACCAGGAATATTCGACGACAATGTGCCATTATTTTACACTAAATGGACCCACGTTCAACAGATGATGAGCCACCTGTGGAAGCGGTCGAAGAATTAGTACCTTCCTTCACTAATGAAACGCCCCAAGTGGAACGAAATGCAGCCACCATTGAATGTTGGAGACATAGTGTGGGTACTCAAAGACCTCACGCCGCGAGGTATTTGGTCGATTGGACGTGTGGTGGATGAACATCGAGGAAGAGATGGCATAACACGAGTGATGACCGTGAGAACGACTTACGATACTCTCAACCGCCCAGCTGCCGGCCTTGTTAAAGTTTTTTTTTGCAACGCCTTTTGCGCCGTTCCAGACAATTAGGGGGCCCCCGGGAGTATCAGGTGGTTTTGCATGCGTTGTAAAGGAAAGACAGTCCAATCCCAATCTTTGGTGACTCCAGCTTTGATTAAACCAAGGTTTTTGTCACTTGAGTTCAGTTATGGTTACAACCTCTACCATGACGGCATCAAAATTTTAAAATTGGAATTATAGTCTTTTTTGTAGATACTGACCATATTATGACAATATACTCAATTATGATCCATTGGCGCTCAATGCGGGTACCCGGCATAAATGACTTTTTGACTTTTGCCGAAGCAACTACTTTTCCCAATCATTGTAAATCAAAAATCACTGTGATCAATTATTTGTAATCTCTTTGGTATAGACACTCTCAAAACAAACCAGAAATAAAAAAGTTGACTCTTGGAGCCATTTTTTGACGTAGGGTGACAAGTCAACTACACTAAAGTAATCTCATATAAAAAATGGATCAGAAAGCACTGAAAAAGTCATTAAAAATTGACTCAATCATCAAAAATTGCAAAAAATGATAACGATTTTTATGTGAAGTCGTTTTCTTTATGTAAATAGTTTCGCATGCTTATACGTTTTGTTACTTCGGATAGTTTTTTCTCTATGTAAAAAAAAAATCATCATCCAGAAGAAGAATGAAGTTCTTTTCGTTCACTAGGAAAAATCAAACAAAACATTTTCAAAAATGTAGTAAAGAAATTTTATTGATTTTCGGTTCTGTGTTAGAAAAGAGTCAAAATAATAGTCGGTTATTACGTTATAATGCAAGTAGTGTCCCGTTTTTATTATCAGAATGATTTCAGTCGTGTAGAAGAATTTTGATTATTCAGGAGTGATAGAGGGTAATAATTCTCGCGATTGCTCCTCTGTCCCAAGGACATCTCGCTCCAATTGCTGTTAGCTCCACGCCACATTGGTGACAAAGAGAATGACCACAGTCCAAAATGACAGCATTTCTTGGTCGCTGGTTGCATAGAGAACACTCATTTAAGGCGCCCGCTGTAGTTGGTCGACCATTTGAGATTCTACCAGAAGTTCTTGGTGGTCTGGAATTTCCATTTACTCGAAAAAAAGCAGTTGGATTTGCTCCAGGGTTCTGATTCCGATTACCACTAGCCAAACTACTAAGAATGGCGGCTTGAACAGCCTCGGTTGCGTCGGAGTTCTCTCTTTGAAATACAACTTGACCCGGAATCAGGACTCCTGAAACCCGTTGGTTGTTTGTGGCCGGTTGAACGTTCACTCTTGTAATAGTTTGATCTGGAGATTCAGGTCGAACGCGCTCATTAATGCTACTAGAACAACGAGTTAGAAGTCTGGCAAACCAGGGTAATGCTTCGTCAAAAAAAAATACTGATGGTGTTATGAAGACCCAAAGGGGTCGAATGAACGCCAGTACAACAATGAGAATGAATGCATCCCACATAAGTTGAACTGAATGTGACAGAGTCGCTCGATGTGTTCCAACGTAACTTAAGTTTTTTCTAATAATCGCAGGCGGAAGCAGTCCAAAAAAGGTCTGTAAAAGCATAGAGACAAACAGGCTTCCCCATTTCCATTTGTTCCAAAACGCTTCCGCTTCGTCCACAAACCCGGATAGTATTCTGAAAAAAGCTTTGATTTGAGATTAAAAAAACATTGTTGTTACTTTCGGAAAAGGCGGAATAATTGTCGTATTTCTTGTAAGGCAAATAGCAAGTGTTCAACTATCCGTCAGGGACGGAAATGTTCATATCACCTGCAAAATATTATTGCATTGAGCTCAAAGTTGAAAAAAAATCATCATGTTTCTTTGTGAAAATTTTTGAAAAACACTTCCGCAAAATTGAAAATTTGATCAATTAAGGCTATATCTATCTGCGATACATTTCTTACCATTAACACATGACCGGAGATACACTCTGGCTCAAAAAACACTCCAAATCGGAATCGAAAGGAAGCTTTAATTTTTTAAATTTGTTTCAGTTAATGTTACAAAAGACAATTTTTCGTGAATAAACTCGATAAAAAATTGAATAAACTTTTTCCAAAAAAAATGTCAATAGTAGTGTAATGATTAATGGTCGAGCACTGCCGGCTTACACTCATATATAATTGTACATTCAAACATTTTATTTTCCCGAAAAAAAACGATTTTTTTTTGCTCAAAAACCAAAATAAATGAAATCTTTTTCCAAGACTAACTTTTCGATCTGCTTGAAAAACTTTGAAAGACCAACTGTCCAGGTTGTAAGTTTAAAAATAATAAAGCTACGTAATATTCAAAGTTGAAAAATTACGACAAAAATTAGTTGACTGTTTCCACGCCTGATGATATTCCGAACCTTTAGGTTGCCTCAATACAACTTGGGATGATTACGATTCGCCGCATACACTACGTTTTAAAAGAAAACTGAGAAATAATGTGCAGTATTCATCCCCTATTTTCGAAGCTACAATTTTCAAACCCTCGCAACTTTACGAAGAGTCGTCCTAATTTAAGAAAAATAATATTTTTGAGCTTACCTAATTATCGTTCTTACACTCTTCTTTTTTTGATTAAAAGCCAACTGAGTTTGAAACGAAAAAGCATCCAAACCATAAAAATTCTATCAGCCTCTTCAAGTTCGGTATAAAAACATCTGAACTATTTTTATTTCTTTCTAATTTGGAACATTTTACAAGGGTTTACTTCCATAGACCAAAAATGTTTAACATACAATTCCATAAATTAGATCTATCGAGTTATGTATGAAGTACTATACTCATACAGTAATTTCAGATAAGGTACACCGTCTACTCGTCACGCTATCTTATTTTCGGCCGGATAGATTCGTGCAACTTCTTAGTCTAATACCAACCTTAATCTTACTATTATATCTCCTAGTCTCAATAGATCTAGTGTACACCGGTTTATGCAAGTTAGTTCCAGAGTCAGAACAACTGTAATCTAACTTTAATTCAAATTGTTCTGGTGTTGAAACTACAAGTAGTTTCAACACTTTACCAATAAATATGCTGTAAGTTTGATTGAGTTTGATTGGTTATTATTTAACATTTTATAGAGATAAAATATCATAATAATAACCAAAGGTAAATACAAGTTTAGATCTGGTTCCATCCATCCGGGGCTTAGAGAGTTTTAGTTTTTTAATATTCTATTGTAGTGAAGGATGAATTATGGTGTTTTTCTTTAAAGGTTGCTTTTTTCTGTTTTGAAAGAAGAGGAAGAGATGTTATTACGATAGATTCGGGATCGTATTATGACTTCTGATCTGTTGTGATGAACGTTGATCTGGTTGGTTTTAGAGGATAGGGACATTGTTATTCTCAGCCTCGTTCGAGTGTGGCAAGTAGTTTGGCTTTGGAGGAAGTGTCTGGTGACTCGGATCTGGCCGTATACTTGAACATCGAGATGGCCATTGTTCTGCTGCCATGGGTTTCCTTTGCTGCGATGCCAAGTCGTATTTTAAATCCATTGAGTGTAGTCAGCATGTCAGGTGGGTTTTGCCATTCTGTAGTTAGAATGTGATTGGGTTGTCAAAATTCCTGCTGATCGTCTTTGGGCTGAATATTATCTATATACTACCTTGTATTATTTACATAAATAAACCTTTAATAATTTTGTTTTTTAGTCTTGATCTTGTATTAATTTTCATCGCAAAAGCGTTATTATTTAAATTGGTTAGTTTTAAGAGCTACTCGCACTTGAGTAACTCTCGTCAAAAAAAGAGTCGTGGGTGTCACAAAGCGTGGATGTAGCACGGTGGTTTAGGCCGGCTATAGAGCATGCTCAGGACTTCCTCTCTGGTGGGTTAGGCCAGGAGTGAGGGTATACTTTCATGCTCTCTTTTAGAGGGTCCTGTTTTAGTTCAACCTTTTGTGCTATTTTTTATTACTGGTGGTTTTTTTTATTGTCTTAGTTATGTCTTTTTCTTTTCTCGAAAATCAAATTGTTAGATTTGGGTTTGTCTTTCGACTTTTTGCTGTTTTGTTCTTTTATGTTCAGACTTGAAAGTAGTCTTTAAAATAATAATTGATCCAGTTCGAAGCTGGTATTAATCCAATTTTGGGCACAGTGGGTTTTCTTTTCTTAGTCATGCTGTTAGGTTGTTTTTTCTGGTGTTTAGTATGCTTGCGTTGGTTAGTTTGGATTATTACAAAATTCCTTTCCAACCGGGTTAAAGGAAAGTTTGAAACGTGCTAAAACTGGTTAGACTTGTTATCAGCGAAACTTAAAACTTAAAATCATTTTTTTAAACAATTCTTGGTGGGCAAGTTGTGCGATTGTGTATAAAATTTGCGGGCAAGTGAATATATAAAGCAGCTTCTTTAAAAAGGTTAGTACTGCTTTTTTGCAATTTACAGGCAATTTTTATTAACTTACTGCTTTGAAATTATGAAATTTTCTGCTTGATTTGTGGCTGAAATTATTAAGTTATTTTCAATTGTATGAATATTTACTGCTTTGGGAGAAAGAATGTATATATTAATTTTTTGCTTTGTACGGGAGAATTTTACTGCTTTAATTATTGAAATTGGTTAATCGAAATTTATGAATTGATAAAAAGTTTCTGTTTTTTAATTTGCTTTTTTGTTTTGTAGATGATTGATGATTGTGGTTATAAAGAAAAAGGAAAACAATTAATAAGAATGGTTAGTTTTGTTTGAAAAGATTAGTAAATTATTTAATTTATGGTTACCTAATCGTCGGTGAAGAAGCCACGGGGAAAAACGTCGTGGATGATATCTGATGAGGTAGTAATTTTGCTAGTAAATTAATTGTGCATTTAGTCTGAAGGAGTGCACAAAGCAATTCGAGTGCTTTAAGGATGTTGTGCTCTTCAGTGCTGGGTGAGAGTTCATATGGTGTGTTTTGAATAATGTTATAGTGTTTGTGATTATAGCGAGTGTTATATCTGAATTCTAGGATTGGGAATTCAACGGGATGGAGGAAATCGTGTGGTGAGCGGGCTTCGTCTACATTGTAGAGTTTGGTTAGAGGACAGAATATATACATCTGGGTGATGCGGTCGTAGGTTAGTGTCTTTATTACAGTAAATGAAGTTGAGGAAAAAAGGTGAGGTGTAATTAGAGTTGATGTATTGATATCTATGGTGAAAATGTCGTGCTGGTGTATTAACAGTGTAATGGTGTTGGATGAAATTGTAGTAAGTGTACGTGTGTGTTTATTCAGTTCTCAAGATAACATCGTGTGTACAGTGCAAATCACATTCATTGGGTGTGAGGAAAAGTGGTTAAATTTGTTAAAGTATGATTCATAAGCATGAATATCACGGAGTGCTGTTGAAATGATGTTGTCGTTTTTTATCTAATTTGTTGATGGTGAAAATATAAGGTGTCTTAATGAAAAACTTCTCTGTTAGTTGTGGGGTAGCGAATGGGTCGTCATTTAGAAAGATGTCTTCGTTAGGGCGGATGATGTTTTGATCATATTAATCGATGGATTAATGATTAGATTTGGGTGCGGAGAATTTTACTAGTGCTTGTCTGTATCCTGTTTGTGTGAATTGCTTAGGGGTTAGTGCAGTTGTTAGAAAGTAGAGTTGGGTATTACATAGTTCGTTGTCATGAGGGGTGTTATATAATGGTTATAAGAGTGGGTTACTAATGAGATTGATGTCCATGATAGTGTGTGTCCATGATTCACATGGGACTGCTGTATACAAAAAATAAGATCTTCGGGAGAGTGTATCAACGAAATTGTTTTTTGTTTTCGTAGATTATTGGGATTGTTTTATAGCATCATTTGTCCTCAAAAACATATAAAGGCAATACTTTTTTCGTACAAGTGTAATATTATAAATTTTATAGTCAATAAAATTTGATCTGTTACCGGATAGTAAATATCCTGCATAAGGGATTTTTAATACTGCTAGTGCAAATGATTTTAAAATTTAAAATTTGTGTGCGTTCAAGTTCGCATAGTTGATGGAGTGTTCCAAATTCTATTAAAGTTCCACTTAATGTAGAAAAATTCTACTTAATGTGTAGTCTAATTTCATGTCTAAGTGTATAACATAGTTAATTGAGCCAACATAAGTGTTGTTCAATAGTGATAGTTCTTTTAAACGTGTACTGTCTTTTGTAGGAGGTTCTTCCTGTGTTTTTAGGAGGTTTACTGGGATGAATGAAATTTCGTCAGTGGTTGAGCGATGTGTTGCCATTGGTGGTATGATTAGTTTTCCTGTATTGATGTCAAAACCTTGCTCGTATTCGACAAGAATTTCTGAATATTGTGTTTTATATATTGGTTTGGTATATTTACATGCAAGTTCGATTTCTGGGTAATTTTGAAAGCGTGTCAATTTTTTTTCTATATCATTACTGTTTCTAAATTTAAAGTTACTTAAATTTTGTTCGTCGGGATCTGAGTGAAAATTTTGAGGGAAAAATGATAAACATATGTGGAAAAATTCTTTGGTGTTAGTGTGAAGTGGATGATTGACAAGTTTTGTGGATGTTCCTGGGTTAGACAAAAATGGGGTATTTGGGAATTTTCTTTTGAATGTTCGGTAAGCTCGATTTGTACTGGAGGATGTGGTTGATTAGGAAGTTGGGTTTTGTGATGGGGTATAATGGCAAGAGGGAGTTGGTGTTGATG